GATCCCATCAATCCACCTGCCCCTGCCTCTCTGTCTCTCAGGGACCACAAATTTGACTTCTTGTCTCACACTGCCAAGTTCCTATTGCACCACTGGCTCCACAGCTCAGAAATGCTGGTCTTTCTTTCAGATATTTCCAGGCCATTCGAAGCTGGCCACGCTGGGCAGCAAGTTGCAAATCAGCTTCCCCATAGTGAAGGCTTCTGCACTCCCAGCAACTCTTATTTATGACTTTTGGAGAAAGGCTATATTCTGTATCCCTGGATGTCCTAGAACTGGCTCTGGAGACCAGGCTGGCCTTGAACTCACAGAGATCCTCCTGTCTCTGCCTCCCGAGTGCTGGGAGTAAAGGCGAGTGCCACTATGCCTGGCTCTCTGGTATTGAGTGTCCCTTAATAGGGAGTCCAGGCCAGAGTCAAGATCACTTTTGCATGTCACCATCCATGGGACCACCACCAAGAACCACGCACAGAAAAAGACCCTAATAAGTGCTTAGGAGACAATTAAGCCCAGCAGTGTCTCCCCTCCTACCATACATACCAGTCACCTCCTCAGCTCTCCAGCCTTTCAGCCTAGTCCCAGGGACCACACTCAGCCACGCTGCTGTGGCTTGGATCACAAGCACCACCAAAAAGACCTCGGTGTTGAAGGCATGGGTCCTCAATGCAGTGATCCGAGGCGGGGAGCTGGGGTGCTGCTCAGCTGGTAGGATGCTCACCCAGCATCCGGTAAATCAGGTGTGCACATCTGTTATCACTCAGGAGGTAGAGGCAGAAGGATCGGAAGAGCGAGATAGATTCGTTAAGAGCGAGATTCGTTCAATGGCAAGACAGGTTTCGAGGTCACGTCTCTAGGGAAAGCTTTTAGGATACGATTGGGCCACGAAGGGACTGAAGGCATCAGTGGATTGCTCCACTAATGGATTCACAATATGCTGTATGGGGAGGAGTGGGAACCATAGCTCTTAGAGACTGGTTGGGGGAAGTGGGGGTGTGTGATCTGATATCTTTTTTTTTTAAACATTTTTTTTTTCAAGACAGGGTTTCTCTGTGGCTTTGGAGGCTGTCCTGGAACTAGCTCTTGTAGACCAGGCTGGTCTCAAACTCACAGAGATCCACCTGCCTCTGCCTCCCAAGTGCTGGGATTAAAGGCGTGCGCCACCAACGCCCGTCATGACTTGATGATATCTTATACCTGGCCTCTTCCTCTGTGGAGGGTGTGTGGGGGCGAGTGCAGGCCGGTGCATCTGTCAGTCTGTGTGTCTGCTTCTTGCATACCCTGAGGAAAGCAGCCTCACCTGCTGTGTACTCCTGGCGCCAAGAAGTCTATAGCTATGAAACCAAGCACCATGGGCAGAAGGAAGCCTTTGCAACTAGTGAGCCCAAAGGAATCCTCTAAAATCTTCGAGTTGATTGGCTTAGGTATTTTGTGTAGATCCTCTACCCCAAAAACTTGGGAGATTTCCAGGATTCTAGACCGGGATGTAGGCCGGCTGTC